AAAATCCAGTCTCCTTAGACTTTTATCATCTTGTTGACAGAATTTTCCTAGACATGCATTTAACCATACAAATAGCTATTCACTGTCCTAAACCTACTCGGATACCACTTGTTATGCAACAGAAACATAAGTTCTAGATCCTAGCTATTGAATATAATAATAACAAGTAGTAAAGCATAAATAAATAGCAAAAATTAAATGCAAAAATAAAGAATACCAGGAATTAATGAGGTTCAGTATTGAAACTTACGTCCTCGGGCGCTGCAAAAGAAAACTCCACTATCTCCAAACAATATTACAAACTTTTGGGCAATATGACATACCCAAAACAAAGGGGAGATACAATAAATCTTGCAAACTAAAGGGTCCTTAAAGAAAGAACCCTAAACAAAAGAAGTATAATGGAATTACAACTTGGGATACAAATAACAATGATTTAGGTCCTTATATATAGGCTACAAAAGTTTCCCACTTTTCATTCATTTTCAATGTGGGACAAACTAACTTTTTGGCTTATTACATATAAGTCCCTAGACCTTTCTCCATTATCACTTCTACCCTATTTGATTTTGGTAAATGAACCATCTTTCCAACATACCACGCCTTTGCATCTTTCTATTTTTAAACAGCAGAGCACTGGAAGGCTTGTGAAAGAAACAACCAATTGCTCACATTTACTAATCACAAGTTCTGTTAATGAAGGAAAATGATTAGGTAATCTTCCACAGAGCTTGGGACATTGTTTAATGGAAAGCTTTCGGAGACAAGAGAAACTTTCTACATGCAACTTTTCTTCAGAAGGATCCCAATGCTCCCATTTCGGCAAATTCTCAAAACAAAGTGTCTCTAATGATTGAAAACACTCTGAGCAACTCTCCCCATAGATCTCACAGCCTACTTTTTTAAGCATTTTCATCCCTTTGATGGTGAGGTTTTTAAGTAACCCCAATAGCCCAATCGAAGGCAAGGTTATCCATCCAATTTCAAAACCACCATATTAGAGAATGATGAATATCCTACCCAAGATGAAAAATGTTTGCCGCCAAAATTATCGATTGTGAGCTCTTTCATATTTTTATGGGGTTGTAAAATGTCAGAACAATTTTCTCTACTTCATCTCGAGAGGGCATAGAAGAACTCCATCCTAGCAGTAACAATTCTAAGTCCTTTTTATAACACAATATAAAATCTCTTGTTTCACGACAATCAGTTGCATTCTCTAACCTTGAAATATAAAGTTCTCCACAAATAAACTTTAATTCTTTCAAACTAGATCCGACGCCTTTACCCACAACAAAATTAGATAAAGTTTGAAGACATTTTAATTTTTTCACTTCTAATGGCGTCTCTCTTATAAGTATTGCACCTCTAATATCAAGATAGCGAAGATTGATCAAATCTCCTATTTGTGAAGGCAACTTTTTTAGATGAGAACAGCAACTTAATAACAAACCTTGTAAACTGAATAGTGAACTTGTTGAATCAGGTAGACTTGTGATTTGAGTTTTAGAAAGATTGAGATACCTCAAATGTTTCAAATCTCCAATTGAGTCGGGTATTTCAATCGCACGATAATTTGTTGAAGATAATGATCTCAATTTTCTAAGCTTTGGCAATAAATTGGGATAGACTGACTTACCTATGTAACTCAAATCATATATTGACTTTGGTGGCCAAAATATTCTTAGGAACGTCCTTAGCTACTCAACTCCAGGGAAGACTTCAAAATTCTTCTCAACTTCATACCTTCTAAATGTGTAAGAAGAGTGTTGAATCCTTTCACGTCTTTTTATTTGCATGACACTCAATTCGTCTTCAAATCTAAAACTTGTTTCTCGAGAAATCGATTGGGCCAAATCATGGACAATGTCGTGCATTACAAATTTCAAACTATCATTATTCAATTGTTGAAAAATTGACCTTGACAATAACTCACAAAAATACTCTGCCACCTAGGTCTTCTAGTTGCTTCTTATGGTTTGATTGTTGAATAAGTCATTTTGCCATCCATAAAAGTACAAGTTCTTCCTTCTTGAATTCATAATCCTTTGGAAAAATTGCACAATAAGCAAAATTTCTCTTAAGATGTGACAAAAGATGATAATAACTTAATTTTAACACAGGGAGAATATTATTTTCCTCTGGCAAATCCCAAATTTCGCTGTCCAATATATCCATCCATTCATTATATCTTTGCTTATAGTGTAAAAGGCCAGCTAGCGTTCTTGCCGCCAACGGCAAGCCTTTACACTTTTTAACAACTTTCTCCCCAATTAATTCCATATTCTTTCCTGCAATAATAACTCTACTTCTAGATACATGCTTCTCAAATATGGCCCAACAGGCATCTTCTGGCAGAAGCTCCAAGTTATAACATACTTCTAGTTTCATTGTCAATGCAACATCTTTGCTACGTGTAGTAACAATTATTTTACTACCCGGTCCTCACAGCCAAGAATGGAGACTTTAGGGCTTCCCATAAGTCATAATCCCTACTCCAAACATCGTCCAAGACTAACAAGAATTTTTTCCCCGCTACATTATCTTTCAGCTGAACTTGCACTTCATTTAAGTTCATTAGAGTGCAAGTTGATGCAGTGATTGACTCAAAAATAGCCTTGGAGATACGCAGAACATCAAAATCATCCGAGACACATGTCCATGCTCTTGTGTTGAAAACTTCGATAACCTTGTCATCATTGTAGACCTCTCGAGCAAGTATTGTTTTACCGATTCCTCCCATACCGACAATGGTTATAACACAAAATTTAGCTTCACTTGATCCCTCACTTAACACCATTTGAAGTATCTTGGCTTTGTCTTCCTTCTTCCCAAAAACAGCAGGCTCGATTGGCACAGATGTACTGTCCTGTCTTTTCGGTACATTTCTCCCCCCAGAAATCTCTTTTAAACCAAAAGCATTTCTTTTTTCGCGGAGTTCTTCCAATTGGTTACTGATACGATCTATCTTGGACCTCATGTTGACATCGAACTTCAGAGCAGTTGGAGCCAAGCCAGAGCAACAAGCTGGAATAAGGTTGCGTACCTTTCTGCTGGTGCTAGAACGTTTTTCTGCCTTCATCTTGCGCTGTAAAGCATCAGTTTCAAACTCATCTAAAATGTCCTCTGCATCATAAACCTAATCTTAGAGATCATCCAGCCACATTTTCACATCATCGTCTGTCAGTTGCTTCTCCTCTGCATGTCTGAGAACTGCCTGAATCATCGTAAACGTTTTTTCCCACTTCCTTAGTTTCGAAACCACCCCCTTTCCTCTTGCAAAATTCAGCAACTCTTGGGAAGCCAGTCTGTCAAACAACACCGAAAGAAACGAAGAGAGAAAGAGCTCTCCCACAGGCATGGTCATTGATTTCTTTCTGTTAGAAAGAAAGGAGTTAAATCAAAAGGATCGATTCGATCATACAAACAGAACGGTGAGAGTGAAAATAAAAAAAGACATTTGATAAGTGATGGTGATATGAAGGTTGTTTTTCCTTACCTGAAATTTGCGATATGACGGTCTTCTAGATTTCTTAACAGTCGAGTTAAATCAAAAGGATTATCAATCACACAAAAGAGAGCAAGAGCAAGATAAAGTAGATTTGTTCCATGATGCTTGAACAGATCTAAAATTTGATATATATATCTGAATAATCAATAAACTATATAAATTCACTTATTAAAATTAAATATATAATACATGTAGATACAAGAGCTCACGGAATCCTAAGCATCTTCCCATGCCATGCCATCATATAATATGTATAAATATTGTTAACAGTGTGATTATATACAGTTTTTATAATGTAATGAATATAGAAATCAATAAAATAAATGATGCCATTTCGAGATCCTAAGCACCCTCACATGCCATTGGCACCTTCCAAGATGATAATAAATAAGCAGAGTGCATTTCACAACAATGCATGCAAATATATTTATTTGCTGCTTTAGTTGGTGTGAGTCAACATTAGACTTTACACAGACAATGATCCGCAATATATGCAGAAAGATTCTTTCATCAATGTTTTAGTACCTTCCTTGTAAGTATTCTATCTGAAATTTTGGTTCGTTTTGATTAAGCAAGATTGCTGTAAATGGCTTTAATTATTTGATTTATCTGCTTAAAACTGGTGGTGATTAGTCTTTGGTGTTATTAAGTTGAACTTAATCAGTCTCTAAGATTCCTAATGTTGAGTGCAAAGCATTTTTACTTGTTTGAAAGACATCAACAGAAAAGCAGATTCAGATATGCCTTATGAAAATGCAGATATGCTGAAATTGATTCATTGTCTCTCTCTTATCAAGAAACTTTGAATGTGGTTCAATGGTATATGTCAACACTCAACAGTGGTTTTCATTAAGGCAAAGTCCATGAGGGTTTGTTTGTCTTGCAGCAACGCTGGATGGTCTGCTTTCTAAGACCAACAATAATGTTTTCCCTCCATCTTAGAACCTGAGAAACTGTATCCCTTTAGGGTAAAATGGACCATTCATGGTTCAATCAACCGTTTAACTACAATTCAAGAGTTATGCGGAATACCATTATATATTATGAAGAGGTAGGCTCTAGGCTTATGTGTACTTTGATTTCTTTGCAGCGTCACCCAAATGAAGCATGTGGTCGACCTGGCCACTACGAAAAAAAATTTGGTCTTTCCTGCCGGTTGACAACCCTTCTCAATGAAGAACAATGAAGAACTCAAGGGGTTGATTCGTCTTGTGTCACTTTCTCAAATGAGTGATCAATTAATTTTAGATTGACAATATTTGACCTCAGGAGAACTGAACTGAGTTTCCATTAAGCAATATCTTTGTGAAGCAGTTTCTTAATTTACTTTGTATGTATTTTCTGCAATTCTTAAGGAAAATAACTCCATTTCACCCAAAGGAAAACTGAGAAGAATCTAATATGCTACTCACAGTACCATGGAACAACTTCAGATTCCTCTGGATCAAAATATATGAGACAGAAAGAAAAAAGCAAATCCACACAACAGTGAGCTTGAAACATTGAGATCATTAACATTCAAATTTGGAAATGTTTACAACATCATATATTTGATCATTACAGCATAAGAATTCTAATTTTCACACCATCAACATTTTGGAACTCTACATTTTCCCTCGAGTGAAAAAACAAAGAGCAAATTAAAAGAAATCAAATTCTAAATACTTATTCTGATCAGAGATTGCAGTGGCAGTGGTGGCTTTGGTAGCTTTATCAGTCGTTGGTAATGCTGGGGCTTGAATCTTCTCGATTTCAACCGGCCTTGGGATCTCAGGGGGGCTTGCGCAACGAATCAAAGCCCAATTTACCCCTTGAAAGAAGGGATGTTGTTTGATCTCTGTTGCTCCTCGCTTATATGCCAACCGATGCAGTGGCTCTTTCACCAGCAAGCCCCTTATCAAATCCTTAGCTGAAAAACTTACAACCGGTGCCTCAGGGAATCGCAATGGTTGACCCACAACATTAAACAGGGTAGCCCTGTTTTCAGAGCCCTTAAAGGGAGTTTTACCAAATAATAGCTCATACAGAAAGATCCCAAAAGTCCACCAATCAACAGCACTGCCATGCCCTTCACCTTTGATAATTTCAGGAGCCAAGTACTCATGAGTTCCGACAAACGACATGGAGCGAGCATTGGTTGGCTCCGCAATAAGTTCTGGCAGTGGAGTAACTTGGTTCCCGGTTTCATTCTTCGGCTTCTGAACTTTCTTGGATTTCGAAAAGAATCGAGGAGAAAAACAAGTTGTAGGGGCAATACATGATGGCTGGATACATGAGGGCTCAATGCAGGCAGGTTGAACACAGTAAACTGGGTTCTTTTTCAGGGGTTCAGATCCAAGGGTTGATGACTTGACTACTGTGGGGCTAACAGCACAACGAAGGGAAAGATCAAAGTCAGACAGCATTATATGTCCATCTTCCCTCACAAGAACATTTTCTGGCTTAAGGTCCCGATAAACAATCCCTAGCATGTGGAGGTATTCCAGAGCAAGGAGAACCTCCGCTATATAGAACCTGCATATAGAAAGTCATAGGATCACATGCTTTATTTTCAGGTAAGGATAGAAGCCTGCAGGACACTCCAGCAAGAAATTCACATTGCAATATGCAATAACTACTAATTAGTTTCTCTCTACTTCTGCCACATTTCTTGCAAGACATTCTTTAAACTCAAGCATTCAACCCTCCTAAATATACAGAACTTACATTCAGGTTAAAAGAAGTTAAGGGGTACATAAAGTCACTTGGAAGACCATTAAATGATTATCCAATGCAATTCTCCAATGACCAAAAATCGAGGAGATAAAGACCCTAAATGCCAACAGCATGCACCAAAACAAGCACAGATATTGATTACCACGATTCACATATATAGACACTATAAGCAGAGAGAGAGTTTCATACTTTACTGCCTGCTCAGAAAAATGTTTCCCAGGTTGTCTTTGCCGAAGCGTGTGCAGGTCACCTCCGGGACAGAACTCCATCACCAAACATGAGAACTTGTCAGTCTCAAAATGGGTATATAACGATGGAAGGAAGGGGTGGTCCAGAGATTGTAGTATTTCTCTCTCTGTTTGAGCTCGGAGTAGTTTCTTACGTTTTGCGAGAGATGTTTTGTCCATCACTTTCATTGCAAAATGGCACTTTGTTCCACTTAATTCAGAGAGATAGACGCTTCCGATATCTCCACAGCCCAACTTCTTCAGCAGTTTAAAATGGCCCACACCCAAAACGCCGTCTTTTGATCGGACAGCTTGTATCGCTTCCCATCTTACATCATTAGCTTTGTGAGGTTTATTGACACTGCTACTTAAGCTACTACAAGTACTTTCATCACTCACATCACTGCTTGTGCTACCTCTACAAATGCTGCTCTTCCCACTCTCAACAAAATCAGCTCGATCACTAGTCTTGGCACTTCCACTTGTCTTAGCAAGACTACCTGTCCCATCACTGACTTTAGCAGAAACTGTGCCAACTCCATGCTCTGATGTTTTCTTTTCTTGTTTAACACCACCTTCCAATGAGCCCTTTGTCTCACTCACTTCAGGGCCAACATAAGTTGGCACTTGCTTTGGATCACCCAAGGATAAACCAGAATCCAACTTATCACCTAAAGAATCAACAGAACCCGTTTTATAAGAATTCAGAGATTTATCATCCTTGGTTGCAACAGAAACCTGTTCTAAAGCAGCCTGCTGGCCACACTTGGGTAACTTTCTCAGATTAACCAGCTCAGAGTTGTTTGCCAAAGTTGAAGGCTTGCGAAAATCACGTTCTGATGTTTGACTACCAAGGGGTTTCCTTTGCTTCTCTGGGGAAACTCTCATACCAGGTTTTGAGGCCATCGAAAGAAAGAAGACTTGTTAAACAGATTAGATTGTACCACAGACCCATTACTCATCCCTAAGCTTCAATAATTGGCCCCCTCCATTAGTAATGCCAATTGTTATCATCTCCAATTCCATTAGCAGTAAGACGATTTCTACAATTGATCAAAACAAAAAAAAAAAAAAAACAAAAAAAAAAAAATAATAATAATGAAAAAACAAAAACCAAACAACAATCTTCTATTCAGAATGATCCATAAGTTAAATCTTAAACCCAGATGGATAAAGCTCTAATTAGCAAGACCAATATAAATAAACTAACACATGACACCACCAAAAAAAAAAAAAATTCTTAACACAAGCCAAGAGAAGTAGTGAAATTCCCCTCTAGTAAGACCAAACTTAAGTCCACACAACAACTGAATTAACAAATTAAGGATAAAATGTAAAACCCAAATCACGAAACCAAACAAATAAGCTAAAAGATAGGCTTACAATTGCATTCAACATAGATCAAATCTTACAATTAAATCAAGAAAGTAAGAGAAACCGAAGCCCCTTAGATCGAAATGCCAATCCCATAAAAACAGAAACTTTGAATCAAATGCAAGAATAAATCAAACAATAACATTCAAAATGTGGTTTATCTTCAGCCGAAAAACGCACAACACAAAGCAAAAGGCAAAAGATAAGAACAAAGTGAAGTAAAGAAGATTCACAATAGATCTCAAAACAAAACCCCACCACTTGAGAGCATGAAAAGGAAAACCCACAAAGACCCAGATGCTAAAAATAAAAAAGTAAAATGCAATGGCAAAGAGAAGCTAAAAACATCCCACCAAGCTAATCACAAGAGCAGAAAAAAGTTAAGAGAAGAGAAAAGGAAACCCAAAAAAGAAGAGTACCTTATAGTGTTAAAGATCACAACTTTGAGAGCTTGCTTTTGCAGTGGAGAAAAGAGAGAGCACCCACTTATTCATTCATTCGCTACTGTAGAGAGAGATAATAAGAGAGAGTGATGCGTGAGAGCTTCTTCTCTCTGAAATGTGTGGAGAGAGAAGAAAATAGAAAGTACTTTAAGAGAGAGAAAAAAAAAAAAGGATTTTTAGTGGACAGATATTATGGTGCCCAAGCCGGTAACGTTACCCACAGGCTCAAAATTTAGATTCCATAATTGTTTTATTAAAAAAATAAAAAAGTTTTTAGAGAGTTTATTGTAGCAAACCCCGTTTATAAGGTTTTATTACTGCGTTGTATCGATATATCAACGTAAAACTTGTAAACTCATAACGGGGAAAGTTGTAAACGAAAAATAAATACTTGTAAAATTCAATTTAGTGAACAAATATTATGGTGCCCAATCCGGGTAACGTTATCCAACATGCTCAAAATTTAGATGCCATAATTATTTTATTAAAAAAAAGTAGTCAGAGAGTTTATTGTAACAAACCACGTCCCTAGGGTTTTATTATAATACAATATTATATCGATACATCCATGAAATCTATAAAATCATAATAGGAAAATTGTAAACGAAAAACATAATATAGTATTTGCAAAATTCAATTATATAGAATAGTACACTAACAAAAACTTTAATTTGAAATACAAAATTTAATTATACATAACGATTTTTTGAATTTATTGAATCTGTTGCGTGATAAAAATAGCAAGATACTAAAAGTTAAAATCGGATATCATTTTCAGATTTAACTACTTTAATATTATTAACAAATATTTTCGTTATCAATTAAACAGTGATTATCGATTGCAAATATTTTATACACCTTATGATAAAATATGCAATGGGTATGTTTATTGTGGTAACGTTACCGACACCGGCAAAAAAGTTAAAGTTTCTTCCAGAAAATATCCTGGGGAGGTAATTACCGGTATGATATGAATGAATGAAGCTCAAAAAGAGCGTGGGGTCAAGGCAAAAAAAGGAAGAAGAAAAAGGGGGTCAAAGGTAGTGCTTTGGGGTTCAATAATAATTTTTAAAGTAAAACAATATTATTGAAATTGTGACTTAAAAACAAACTTTTGTCCTAAAACCAAAACAAAAACAAAAAAAAAAAAAAAAAAAAAAAAAAAAAAAATCCAGAGGTCTTAATCAAAGTGAATGGGCCTCAAAAGGCTCCAAGCTGTCTGTTCTCATGATTTTTGGGCTTCTTTTTTTCAGTTCTTGAGTTTCCCATTTAGGGCTTCAAAGTCTTTGGAATGACCATTTCTGTCCCTTTGGTGGTCCTCCATGACACACCTTTCTTTTCTGCTTTATTAGTTGTTGATAGATGAATGATGTTGATGATGATGATCATGTTTGGGCAAAAGGGTCAATCACATGCTTCTCGATTAGGTCATTGCTTCGACCAGGCGGTTCATATTTAACTAATAAGAAAGTCTTCAGTTGACTGTACGTATAAACATTATATATACATTTAGTCATTTACATATATTCAACTGATGAGAAAGATTTCAGTGAGATGTACGTATCACATTATCTATACATTTACAGTTAAGATTCAACCGATGAGAAAGTTTTCCATTTGATATGTGTATCACATTATCCATACATTTATTCAGTTAAATATTATTCAGTATGTATTTATGTCAATCATAATAGTAGTTTAACGGAAAATGAAATAAATAGTTATACGGTAGAACTCATATATATATATATGGTGAAATTTGATTAAATAAACGTACCGATAAGATGATACGCTTGCACCGCTAAAGATGTTTTTCTTAACTAACATACATAGTCATTATAAGTTGAATTATGGGATTTTCAACTTTTTAACTCTTTAGTGATTGAAAATTCTCGAAAGGTATATAAAGATAATGATAATGATAAAGTTCCAAGTGGAACACCCTTATATTTGACTAAAACATCCTCCCGGTAATGTTACCAAACCAGTGTGATAGTAGCTATAAACAAAGGCTGATCAAGCATGGAGTCAGATATCAGATACCAAAGTTGAAGGGAATATTTTGTTGGGGAAGATGAATATGAAGATTAAAGCACAGAAAAAGTGAACACAAAATCCTGATTAATCCCAACAGTATCTTAATGAAGTGGACTCAGAATAATGACCTCTCATGCCGACAACACAACACAATGCCATCTTGGACAGCTCATTCCCTTTTGAATCCCCCCCTCTTCTCAATACCCCAAATCCAAGATTTGCTAATCTTGTTCACTTGTTTATGCATACGAAAATTAGGGAAAGCTCATTAATAACTTTTTATTGAACAAATATTGTAACTAAGGTGTCCAAATCAGGTTACTCGACTAATCTTTGGGAGAAACTAGCGCAGCAACCCACCCTATCAAGACCTCCCACTTAAATCGCGGATACTCAGATGGGGTATCGAACCTTAGACCGTACGTTTATCTACACTATCTTTAATTCGTCCTAACTATCTAGGCTATCGATAGGTGAAATGACATTTCGTGCTAACCTTCAATTTCTATCATAGTTGGTTGCTGTCTTATTTTGTCTAAGATACATGACTTTGAGTGGTTGGATAGGACAATTCTAGTTATAAAAAATTTATGGGACTGGCCCAGAAGGTCTTATTAGTTCAATTTTTAATGAACCCACTTGCCAAAGTTTGGTTTACTTTGGGACTTGCTTTACTGAGAACTTGGTGTGAACAAAATAATTATTAAATGAGGAAGATGGCTAAGTCATTTTGACCTGCCTAACTAATGGGGTCAGATAAGATCTGGATCATAACTTCAAACTTTTAATGATGTTTTTAAGAGTAATTTAATCAGCAGATTATGTCACTGGGTTTGCTCAAACTTAGTCTTTTTTTTTCTTCTCCCTGCTGGCTTAATAATCATTAAGATGAAAAATAAAGAGAGGTTTTTATATTGAGAATGACAGTATGACACCATACTTAATTATATATAAGTGTTAACACCAAATGGAAAGACGATTTTACCCTTTTGGTTTCGGAAACTAATAATATCAACAGAAGACGACAAAATCGTATTGATTTGATGTGTATAAGACCTAATTTACGAATAGGAGTAAGATTGTGAGTTTCCGAGAATAAAAAAAATAATATGTTCTTAAAAAAATGAAACTTTAAACCCGAAATCAACGATGATCTCACCCTTTTAATTTCAAAAACTAACAATATTGCCTCTAATTTTCGAAGTCACTCATTCCGGTAAACGGAAAAGAAAGGATGACGGTGTTAGTTTCTGAAATCAAGAGGCAAAGTTGTTCTTTTCCTATAAATATAGGGGTGACAATGTTATTTACCCAATTAAGAAATGGCTGATTTGATATTGAGAAAGTGATGCAGGAGCAGGACCAATCAAACTTAAAACATATTTCAATAATTTCTTCACTAAGAAAGCTTGTGAGCTGACAGAGAAGACCATGATTCTTTGTCCTCAAGGACAGGTATGCCACATGCTTCATATGGGTGACTGTAAAAGGACCTCAAAGTTCTCATAAACCTAGAAGCCTCATACTTTGATAAATACAAAATAATAGGAAAAAGAAATGAAAAAGAAAAAAAAAAAAATTACTCCACCTGTACAACAACAGTACAGGTACAGCAAGATTAAGGACACATGTGCATCACCAGTCCTAGCTAAAAATATACAGAGTTTCATAGTAATATAAAATACTCAAAAAAGCTTATAAGATTACCATTAGATGACAATCCTTCTTCCATTACAATACAAAACTGGAGCAAACACTCTTACAGAAACATGTGTTCCCCATAACAACTCTCACATTTTTTCATGCTAATACTTGCAAAAAAATCTCATATACATAAGGTGAAACAATATTAGCTTCTTCATTTCTAAATTGGAGGGAAAGAACAATATCAATTACCAAACCCCCTTGGTTTACAGTGAACTATATTTTGTCTTAACATCCTACTCTATAAAGCATCAAGATAGCTCAGTAATCACACGTTCGCATTTGTCTTCCAAAATCTTCACAGCTTCGGTGAATAAAACTTCAGGAGGTAATGCTCCAGTTGATTCGATAGTAACTGGAAAATGAAAGAACAGATGAAAATGAAAAGAACATTACACTATCAAAGCCTTGCAAACAAAAATGCTAAGTCTAGAACCAAACTTTAGCAACATAAACATATTCGAGCTTATGCACTACCATTGACAAATCATCATCATTCAATAGTAGAGGAAATAGTTCCACATGGGATCATTTTCAAAGAAGACTATGCAATTGTATTACATGCAAATCTAAATACTGATGCCACCAGCATTTTGGCTTGGATACATTCATACAAGTAGGCACTTTGAACTGAACAGTATATTCAAGTGTATTCTTTTGAATATCTTCTGATTAGCTCTAATTAATGCACATGCAAAACATACTTACATATAAAATGGTCTTTAATACGACGTAGTGACACACGCTTCTCCCATTCTTCTCCAATTCTTAGGCATTCCCTACAAAGTGTGCAAGCTCGGGGTCGTGCTACTGTTGCCTTTTTCTTACCTGTTTTCACCCAAATCATCAATGAGTGATTTCAACCATAAAAACGGGGGGAAAACAGTTTTAAGAAAGCTATAGGAGAAAAGAAACAGTTAAATGATGGCATACTCTGAACAGCTTAACAATCAAAATAAAATTTTTGGAACAAAGATTCTTTGCAATCAAATTCCCCCGTCTAAACCAGAGAAAAGAAGAAACCACAAAGTTAGCAAAAGCTCTTTACCATTTCCAATATCTTCGATATCAAATACTTTAACTGGGCAAGTGTTTACAAGTTTTTCAGCATCCTCATCCTCAACATCTTCCAATAAAACAACCTACACATAATGAATTAAATCTTAGACAGGTTGAAAAGAAAAGATAACTGAAAAAGACATATCAGATTGTTTAGAAGCAACTCCTAAATAACATCTCCACACCTCAGGAAGCATTCGGTACCAGGCAGTAGCCACTGGTGACCACTTTGCATGAGTCTTACCCATGCCTTTAACAGCATGTGCTTCTAATTCAATTTCCTGCAAAAAGGAAAATATATATGAGCAGTAAGAACTTGAACAGACATTACTCATCAAAACCATCAACTGAGTAATAAAATGAGAAACAATACTACTTTATTCTAAAGCATATACAATAGCCAATTAGCCCCATTAAAGCATGGATGACTAGGTTTATATTCAATCAAACAGTTTCATAGACTAAAGTAAAATTTGATTTGCACGTCCAAACAACTTATTTCCTATTATGTTCACTCTCATGCAAACTCAGTTTAGAAAGAACCTTAAGCTGAGCTAAATCAGTAGCAACAGAGAAGGAAAAAGAAGGTTTACCTGACCAGGGCCAAGCCTCGCAATAGTAATATCAGGCATAGGGTTAATTGGATTGTTTGCAAATTTTGGCAAAGATGCTTGGCTGCAACTAAAAGAAGTGTAGGTCCGTGGTTTAGAGGTTGGGTTTGAATCAGAATTTTTCGAATCCAAAAGAAGCTCACTCCCATTTGGCAACCACTTCAATTCATTAGTTTTTACTGCATCATATATTATATTTACATTAGATAACAACAAATAGTAAAAAAAATAATGCAAGAACAATAAGAATTCATTAAATAAAAAAAAAAGCGTAAATTTAGGAATTGCATTTTCTCCCTAAGATTTTACAGCCTTAACCAAATTACAATTATTCAATAGAACAACCATCATACCAGTATAGAGAACTAGAACCACATCATACCTGTAAGACGGGGTGCCCCTCTTTAACAACGAACATGGAGTTTATAAACAATGGTGTTCTTTTCGTTATTTGTATCATTTTCTACATTTATAAAAAAATAAAAAATAATAAAATAAAAAATAAAAAATCAATTACAGACTACATGCCCAAAAAACTGCAGATATAATAATCAGACAATAATACTAAGAGCTATATAACAAAATAACTAAAAACCAACAAAATATTTAAGTCAAACCTGATATATATTCAAAAAGCCTTGGATCAACCATGATTGGAATGAGACCCAGCCTGTGGGCAAGAACTTCATCTTGGATCACTGATGTATTGTTTGCAATAAGAACTTTTTCAATAGCCATTGTAGGAAGCTGCATGAAACAATGAAACAGAATCCATCTGGATCATCAATAGAAGGTACCAACTAACATGCCACACTCACAACCAAAATAAAAAAGTACAATGACCACAACAGTGTTAAGATAGAACCTTCACAAGTCAATGCTGCAAATAAGAACAAATCACAATGATATGAAGTGCATGTAAGTAAATCATGAATATAATTATACTGAAATAATAAATAGCAATGCACCTCAGCTATGAGGATCCTACGGAATGCATTCGCAATTGATGGATCAATACCAATTAGATCAAACTCCATGTCATCCTTTGTGAGCCGAACTACTTCAACTCGAAATTTCTGGCGAAAACAATCCAATTGGACACTGTTGTCGACTCCCATAGAAGCATAAGCACCACCATACATTACATTGTCTGTCTACAAAAACCAAGAACATAAATTGAAAAAACTTGAGAAAGAAACAAAACCAATATCCACAACCTCGCAGTCTTCCGCTCAACAGATGAAAAAGATTAACAGAAAACAACAATAAGAAACAAACAGATTGAAGCATCTCCAAAAATAAAAAATAAAAATGGGTATTAAGCAATATGAGAAATAACGAGAAAAACAAAGACTTGCAACAATGAAAGATATACTGAAAATTTTCAATCTTTACAATAGGTCAAAAATCAAAGTAAGCAACTTCGTATAACACAAATAAACAATCATCGAAACAAAATCATGGGTAATTACAAACATGACTAAATACACAAAGGGTATGGTCAATATGAGAACTACAGAAAAAGGTTAACGAGATATAAAGGAACGTTCAACAATGTTACCGAAACCTGAAATTTTCAACCATTGCAATACGTCAAAAAAGCAAATTAAAAAAATTTATACAACGCAAATAAAGTATCACAAACAAAATCATGGGTATTTACAAACAGGAAAAAACAGATAAAGGGTCAATAACAAACACATAAATAGCACACACAAAAACACTACCTCGAAAGCGTCCAAAAAAACTGGAAAAGTTTAAAATAATCAACGAACACTCAAAAACTCACAATAACAATAAAATGGTAGCTACAAATTGAGAAAAAATGGAGAGGGTCGATGAGAAGTACATGAATTGGAGCATCAAGGTTGCAGAGGACACGAGTTCTCTGAAACTCAAGCTGTGGAGGGAGCCCTTTGGGCAAATCTGGTAAATCCAAAGATGAAAATTTACCCTTTCCTTCATTTACTTGTTTCTTATCAGTTTTCTCCGCCATTTTTTATCGAATTCTGTCTCAGTGAGAACGTACAGTTGAGTAGTGTTGAGAACTGAGAAGAGAGGGAGATTCAAGGGTTTAGGGTTTAACAGAGACAAAGCAGCTTAATGAGACAGTTTCATAACAAGAATATATGGGCCTAGTCAGAGTTTGGGCCATTAAATTAGTAATGCTAAGTACGCTCGACCTATTTGCAAAGTAACCCCAACTTTATTAATTAGTCCTTTTTCTTTTATTAACAAATTATATTTCGAATTACAAAAATTTTTTATGTTTTTTACGTTTGGTCAATGTTCTGAAAACCGGACCGGACAATGACCAGTTCAAGGGTCCGGTTTCCGGTTTGACTAGTTGGATCGGTAGGCTAGATCGTATTTTATAAAATTACTTTAGTCCCTAAAGGTTTGAAATTCATCAAAAACACCCTTATAATACTCCCTTAAGGTTTGAAATCTGTCTAAAACACCCTTATCACACGAAGATACTGATGAGTGGTGGCGGCAACGACGATCGACGGCCAATCGAAGCTAGAATCTTGGGGCTTTTGATGTGTAGGTGTTGGCGAATCTGATGGTAGTGTTAAGGAGTTCCATCGGCATCGGAACTCATCGAAATCAACAAAAGAAATCTGTCGTCGTGTAAACTTTAGGTGGACGGCGAGCTACGAAGGCTGGATGACGGCCACTAAAAATGGATGGGTTTGGTCATGGAGATGCTGTCACGTCGAATGGCGGTGTTTTCTTCGTCGAAGGATGCCAGAATCCGGCCGGATGGAGCTGCAATTGGATCGCGACTTGGCAGTATTCCGACGGTCCAACAGCGGCTCAATCTGGTTTAATGAAAAATACTGATTTTTATAATATCCCGGACCAGAAATACCGTCAGCTGCCGGTCGAACCGGAAGGTCTGGTCCGGTTTTCAAAACACTGCGTTTGGTTAAATGATTTATAGTATGCATGGTAATGCTCCCCAAAATTCCGGGATCCATCCCACTCCACCCCATATGGGGTGGGGAAGCCTCAGTTTTTTTGGGGATAGGGGTAGGGGTGGGGGCGTTTTAATCCCTGTCCTTGGGGATGGGGCGTAAGTGATGTCTTTCCCCCGCCCCTCCCTGTATATAATATATAAAGTTATATATATTTACTTTTCACTAATACCTCAATATTTTATCCAATTACACAATTATCTTACCTATATAAACTCATATTATGTTTTCATAAGGAGAATCCAGGGAAATGCTCAAATTTATGTTTATGTAAAATTAATTATGTTTAAACAATTAATTTAAGTGTTTGTCATGTGGACGAGAATTAACTATGTTTAAGCGATTAATTTAAGTGTTTGTCATATGGGTGAGAATTAACTATTATGTTTGGTATTGTTCAAATTAATTTATGTTTATGTAAAATTAACAAGACGGGGACGGGCTTCCAACATTCCCCATGAGGCGAGGAAAGGGAATTCTTGTCATCCCCATAGCGGGTATAGGGCGATGGTAAAGAGTGATTTTGAGAGTGGGGATGGGTACAGTGAATGAGATCCCCATCCCGCGCCGCCTCATTGCCATGCCTAATTTACTGGTTTTTCTTAATATAAATGTATTAATGAAAATAAAAACAGTACCATTTTCTTGATTTAAATACTTCTTAAAATAGGTTATGATATAATACCACCACCTAAAAACTATATATTACAAGTTTTACATCAATGTATTGTCACAACATTGTAATATTACAAAACCCCTTAAAATGTAAGAGGGAGGACATTATGAAATGTTTTGTGCAACATCAAGGCCGGTTATTGCAAGATACTTGCTTAAAGTAGAAACCATTTTGTTGGAGAGAAATGAGTGTATGCAAGTCAACCCCAGATATAAACACTGACATTTACAACAACCAACTGATTATATTTAGTAATGAGAACACAAAGGGTTTGAATTTTGACATTGTGAGATAACAAAATTTTTTTGGACTAGTACAGCCCAAGGTCAAGTAAAGAAAAATCAAATACCATAAATACTCAAAAACTGGACATTTTGCAGCAAGGGTTACAAAATCTTGAGCTTCAGATTGATTTCTTAAATACAGTTTGATCATGTAGTAGATGCTTGTGTACTTTGTCACTGTCGGATATCACATTCCCGTCGGCGCTGTTCCTTGCTCCCACCAGAAATGAATCCTAGTGTTACTGATTCACCCATCTTGTGTTGTCATCAACTGATTATTTGCTATTACTACCCTCCTTGCCTGCACCAGCCTTCTTTTTCCTCAAGGCTTTTCTCTTCTCTTCTCTGCAGGAATCAGCATGAATAAATTAGATTATATACAGCAAGTTTTCTATTTGGACAAACCAGAGCATGAACAGATTACTTGGTGCCTCTCACATCAAACATTATTTGTTTGTGTCTAACAAATCAATCTTAAAAGCTACAATGTCATGTGAAATGGCACCCATTCCTATGGAAAAGCCTTTACCTGACTTTTGATAATTCCTCTCTAGATGGGAATTTCCTTTTCTTCCTTTTCTGTGGACTGGATTGGGACTCTACATTTCCATTTTCAACTAAACTACGTTTCTTTTTCTTTGCATCCTTTGCTTCTTTATTGCCTTTAGCTTCTCTAGTGCCTTCTTCCTTCAAAGGCTGTTCAGTCTTCTTTTCACCATTGCTCTCATTTGAAGTGGGAGCTTGTTCAACAGATTCTACAGGTTCAGATGCTACTGGAGTTGATTTAGAATTGCTCATTTTCTTCAACTGCAGGAAGTAAAACAAAAAAAATAAAAAAAAATAAAAAAAAAAAAAATCGTAAGGCATGTAGACCATCAGGCTGAAAATCTCAAGTAGATGGCAATCAGAAAAATCCCATCCATTTACAGAAGAGTTTCTAAAAGAATTTTCATTACTAGCATAACCAATGATAAGAAAAATTCTTTTTTCTCAAATGTGATGCGCACTCAGAAAACCAATGTATACCTTTGCTACAAAAAATCCATCCATATTGTGAACATGAGGATAAAATCGCCTTGTCTTTTCTAAGGATGGATGAAATCGGTGTTCCCTAAAGCGAACAAATCTGGTAGAAAGATGAAATGTTATTAAATGTGAAAATCAGCAAGGTTCATCACAAACTCCCTAAGATGAGAGTAAAGCATTACCCTGGACGTCCGAAGTCAAGTCCACAGGGTACAAGTTTGACATCCCTCTTTTTGAGTGCATAGTCAATAACTGCTTCATTCTGCAACACAGTAATTTACCATAAGAGAAGGAAAAATTGCAAAAATGCGCACCCACAGGCACACCCTTCTCAACAAACCTCAGGAACCAAGATGGAGCAAGTGGAGTAAACAATATATCCCCCAGATTTGGAATTAGCATCCACCATGTCAATGGCAGCGAGTATTAATTGCTACAAGAAAAATAAATAATTAGCTTCATCTTAGAAAGCTAAATGAGACGATAATATAACAATAGGTAATTCTTCTATTTTCTATACAGAAAGAGCATACCTTCTGCAAATGGGAAACTTTCTGAATATCATCAAGGCTTTTAGAAGTTTTAACAGATTCATCCTTAGATATAACCTGCATTGTGTAAAGTAGGGTCATTTAGTCCCATCAAGCAAATACCAATTCAAACAAGCCATCCAAACTAAATGAGGTCCTAATCGCTTACCCCAGTCCCACTACAAGGAGCATCCAACAATACTCTATCAACAGTGTTGACACCCAAAACCTTGGGCAGCTGAAATGGATAAACATTAAACAAAAGGAAAGACATTAGAATTGCTGACTAGATATTCAACCAAAGGATTTTAACTATCAAATAATAACCACTATTGCCAGTGTACATTCATTCAATCGCTACTCATCCAACAGCAATCAAGTTCTATATAATATATAGATATGTTTTACCATAAATCATTCTAGAGTATGAAAAATAAAGGGTTAGGATATCCAATTTGTTTTCCACTAATAAGTACTAATGAGACGCAGTAGGCATGTAGCAGATTTTTCATATTAATACTAATACAAACATGTGCTGTTAATTTATAAGGCAATTTGCAACAATGAATAAAATATTTGCTACACTTCAAAACCACCTTGTCAACTGTACTGATCAGAAGAAAGACTCCAGTATTCAATAATAACACACCATTAAACTCAGAACTTATCAAAGCACTAAATTATATTATATCACAGGCAAAAGGAAGCTAACCTCCTTCCCGTCATAGTTGCAAACTACAGTGTTTGTCACCCCCATACGATGTAAATTTGCAGTCAGAGACTTAAGCCTTGGTTCCTTCATCTCATTTGCATAGATTAGTCCTGATGAAAATTGAATTAAAACAATCAAGGAAGAATAATATTGAAATAAAGAGAATCAGAGCATAATCACAGAAAATTATATGGATACAGATGTGCACACTAGCAGCAAACCACTATTATTTTATAGTTCCTGATAATAAGGTTAGTTGCATCATCTTAAAACTGAAAATATCTAAAACCTAATCAAGTGGGTTATGCAACTGACTAGAAGAAGAAGAAATCAGAAACGTAAAGCAAAACCAGGCGTGTGCACAAAACAGCTATTTCAATTGAATCTTTCAAAGATTACTACATACCAGTATTTTTCATAAGAGCGGCAATGTAAGTTGTTTTACCACCAGGTGCAGCACTGCAACAGGTATAAAATTGTAATCAGAAGAGAAAATATGTTAATGATACTTGGAACTTGTAACACAGATACTATGGACATTAATATTTTCACAAAACAATTGTGTTTCATCCTCATCTTATGATGAAGTGGATCACTGCAACAAGTAGACATCCCTAATGACAGAGAAACACAATTCGTGACACAACTATTAATATAAAGTTACAAGCTTGCAATTGAAATTCTCATCATGACTTCAAAAAGATATTAAGATACTAGATTGGTGGACAGAAAAACGCTGCAAAATGGCTTAGAAACAGATATGCAGAAGAAAAAACTTACGCCATATCAACAACTCGCTCATTTTCTTGGGGAGCAAGGGCCATTACTGGCAAAAAAGAGCTTGCACTTTGTAGCTGCAAATTAAAAAAAAAAATATTTACCATCTTAAGTACACCATGTAGAGCAGAGAAACTGAAATAAAGTACCAAAGAGAAATGTCCAGAAATATATGACTTCCTACCATGTAATAACCGGCCATGTATTCAGGAGTTGCACCAATTGGCACTTGAGAATCATAGACTACCAACCCTACCTGCAATAACAATATCATGGTTTTGACATTCGTAATATTTAACCCAGAATTTAAAAGAAAAAAAATGAATAAGGTAATTCTTACTTTTGACCACTTGCTTAAGGGGTCTAAATTTACTCCTCTGTTTATGAGAACATCAGCCAAATCCCGTCTCCGAGTCTAAGCAGATACAAGAGGAAGAAAAAGATAAATCAAGATACTGAATATTGGGCATAAAACATATAAACGATAAATCATATCTCAGAATGCAGCAATGTAAAAATGTAAAAATGTAGTTTCACCTTCAAAGTGTTCGTTCTTAGGCATATAGGCCGAGGCTTTTCAAATGATTCAATAAGTTCCATAAGTTCAACTGGTGGAAACATCTGTAAGGGAAAATGCACATTTACTGGAGAACACAAACACACAAATAGAGGACAGAAGGATGGATGGATTGAAAGAGAGGTGTCGAAGCCAATCAAGAAAATAGTAAACCATCACCTACCTCCACCAAAACCCCAATTAAGAACTCATTGTAACCGTAGTATGTACCCAAATCCATTTTAAGCTGCTGTACATAGTCTTTCCTTGTTCTTCCCTTTTGACACAAGTCCTTAAAATTTGAAAGCACTCGAACAACTGTAAGTGAATGTTAAAATTAGATTTGGAAAATATAGAAGCAACATGATTCTGAAAACAATTAAAAATCAAAGACAGTGAACTAATGAAATATAACTCACTCTCTTTAATCCTTCTCTGAAGATTTGAAAGAACAGGAGGTCGCTGTTTTTCTTCCTCAAGTTCCTATTTTATTAGGAAATTAAAAGAAAATTAATTGAGAATAAAATCCATTGATTAAAAAAAAAAGATGAAAAAAAAAAACTTCTGTTCACCCCAATATTTAAATAAACTAGGCACAAAAACGAGGAGAAATAGAAAGTGGCAGTGATGATAAATAACCTCCTTGGTTGGCAATCTGAATTCATCAGACTCTTCTTTAATGTTGAGCTGCATTTCTTCAAGAGCTTCTTCTTCTTCCCTTGCCCGTGCTTCATCAATAGCTCTTGACTTCTTTTCAATATCAGATCCATCATCTGAATCTGAATCTGAATCTGAACCAGAGTCGGAACCTGAACCTGAATCTTTGTCTGCAACAATAATATGATTAAAAATCAAAATGAGTAACAACATTATTAAGTAAACAAAACCCTCCAATTAAAAAACCAAAATAGAACACAAAATAAAAAGACTCCAAACACTACAAACTGACAAAACCACACTACCTTCGTCTCCACTTCCTTGAAGAAAATCTTCAGCAAGGGGATCATCTCCATCTGAAAATAATTCTGAACCAGCATCTGAATCAGATTCTCGTTCTTCCTCTTCAAACTCTCGGGGGTCTTTTACTTCTTCATTTGAAATATCAGAATCCGAATCATCAGAAATATCTTGCTTTTTGGAACGTTTTGCAGCAAACAGATCATTCTTCTTTTGCTTCTTTTTGAGTGGGGGCTTCTGTGCTTTTGGTCCCTTTTTCTTACTAAGGGCAGCAGGAGCCATTATAGCTGCAAAACCGAGACAGAAGTTACCAAGGATAATCCATAGTTAACAATAAACAAGTATCCTATTATAAACAACAAAACCAAACCGCTCAATTAACAAGTCAAGAAGTTATTCCACAAGCAGAATTAATTAAACAACATAAAATTATCACTCCACATGGTCTAGCAACCCACTTTGGCTTAGCTAAACTTAAACACAAATTTCTCCAACCTCTTTTCTAGCTCTCTAATTGTTACACCACATGAAAGTTTAAAACCCTTTGACAAACACACTTACATTCTCGATAAACCGATATCAAACACGAAGCAAACATCCATAAGCTAAATTGAACCAGACAGGAACAAAATTCATAGAAAAGAAAATACTATTTCACCCTTTTTGGTACACAAAAAAATTAACTCAAACTTTCAATTTTCCAGCAGCCTTTCAGCTTTTACACACGAGTAAGAACGTCAAATTCAAGGCTAAACCCATCAAACAACACACAGGTACAATTTTAAGGTTGCAAAATTGATCAAACGTTGACATGAAAATAGAAAAATAAACAAATGGGCAGTTATAAGAACATGCAAAGATGAGATTTTTACTTGATTTTTTTGTTCAGGGGAGAGAAACACTAATTCTTCGTAGACGGCTGGGGTTTAGGGTTTAGCAGACGAGGGAGAGGGACTTGAAGAAGACAGCGCGAATTGAAGACAGTAGTATTAAAAAGTCTGGGCTTTTAATTGGGCCAAGTAGTTATGAATGTTGGGCTGGGCTGGGTTCGGCTTGATCTCATTTGGACCTTGAAAGGCAACTATTCTGCAAATGTAATTACACAAATACCCCTGAATGAACATATTCCTAGTATGTTTGACTAATGTTTAGATGAAATTTGTCGAATTGCTCATTCGACAAACACATTAAGGTCGATTTATGATATCATAACTCGACTCTTAAAAAGAGTAAAATAATTTGTTCAATAACTGTTGATTCTTATTTAACGGTTTAGATGTATCTTAATATCTTTCCGATTTCATCAATTAATATTTGATTGTTGTATGAGGAAATCCTATCGAAAAATGTTTGATGCCCTTTAACTTTGAAGTAGAGTCTTAACATTTCTAAAAAGTATGTGTTTTAATTTTTATTGACACTACTAAGTTACATACAGAGAATACTACATAAGGCAGTCCTTGAGAAGACAAATTTGGAACTAGTAAACTTAACAAAAGTGTTCCAAATTATGCTCACAGATTATGCACAGAAAGCACTCTTTACAATGGAGAGATTTACAATATTTTCCTGAGGATTTTGTTAAAACACAGGGCAGCCCTCGACTTTAATTCCTGGTGATGTAGGGCATGTGGCTAATGGACAATGATCACCATTGGAATTCCCCCACCAATGTGGACCTTCAATGTTGTTACCCTGAAGGGCAAAATAAAGGAACACACCCATGAAGGCAAGTCCAGCATCCAGAGCAGCTGATAAAATATAAGTATGCCTAGCCCACCAGGTCTTGTATTTTCTGAAAATGTAGTAGTTGAAGAAGAGTCCAACAGCTCCCCAACTCCAGAAATGCACTGCTCTTGTTGGTGGCATTTTGCTTGTGGCTCCGAGGATAATGGGCCAGTGAATCTTACCCAGCCACTTGGTTGTCGGGAATTTCCGAGCAAGATACCATCCTGGAACTGGTAATAATAACCCGATGAGGAAGAACCAGTTCATTTCTGGGTAGTTTCCTGCGGATGTGAACATTCTTCCAGGACCAACAACTCCCCAGATGATTGAAGCACTGTAAAAAACATCATCTCCAGGACATGTCCAGGGACTCCCCTCAGGCAGCAAATTTTTGTCACAAATGTTCTCCACAGATTCGAGAAGCCACCAGGCTGTTCCGAAGCAAAAACTTGAAGCAACTATTGTTCCAGCTAACTAATAACGCAGATTTGAGACATCATTCAAAACTGTGTCATTTCTATAATACTGATACATCGTCTGGAGAAATCCAGGACCTGGTATGTATAACATTAGTTAACGAAAACTTTTAGTTACCTGAACAATGAACATAGATTTAGGTGGGATTTTCATGTAGTGGCCTAATTTTAAATCTGAAAGAAAACTAATGGCCTGGTTGGTACTAATAGTGCCATAGGTCTTGAAAGTCACATTTGCAATAGGCCTCCCAGGATAAAGATACCCAATGATCATCTCAGTGATCACGTTTAGCCCTGGTGCCTGCAGAAATCAACAAAAATGTACAAGTTCTTCAGTTGTTAGGTATTAAAAGGATAATAATCTCCTCGACAGACACATTTTTTTTTTTTTTTTACCCAAAATGCAGATCTCAATAGAAAAAGCTAGTGAACAGTTAATGACAAAATTTTCAGTCATATTTTCTCATAAAACAGTAAAATTTTGCATTTGAACAATTATTGAATCTAACAGAAACCAAACTAGCTATGTTACCTGATTTGTGGTGGCTGTAATTACACTAACTGGTAAGGTGAAAATAAACGAAACGGCAACTGATAGAAGAAAACCCCACCATGGGAGTTGAAGAGCTTTGTCAAAGCCTTCACAGGCAATGAGAGAAAAAACAATAGATGTAATTAAGCAAGCATGAAACCACCAATGTGGAACTGGGTCATAGTACTTCTTCATCAATCTTGTATGCACATCACCAAATTCTTCTGATTCACTTTTGGCATTTCCCCACGTTTGCCATATGTGTCTGCGAGAAGTAAATTTAATCTCAACCATTTAAATACATTAACACAGAACTCAAAAAACTCTGTAAAAGTATAATTCTTACTTTCCATCGAAGAGAGCAACATGTGATAGCGAAGCCACTAATCCTGCAAAGCTGAGCCCATAGTTCAAGGCGAACAAGACACTTACATAGACTCTGCTGTAGCTATTATAGGCACCCACGTCAAGATCGAAGGTTTTCTGATTGAGGATTCTGGACACATTGTATACTTGACCAGAATAGTCGAAAGTTTCACAACTGAAGATGGGAAATCGTTTGGCGTCGTAAATATTTGTCCAGTAAGCAATTGGAAGCATAACATAGATAACCAGGATAAACCCGATTAGCATATTGACAATGGCGAACAAGGGGAAGGCTAAAGGACTTGATAGGAAGGAAGCAACAGTGGACCAGTCGAGGCCAAAGGAGCCGATGCCTAGACCATTCAAGCCTGAACCAATCTGTTGCATTGTGACTGAGTCTGTCCAGATCCAACAAATGAAGGAGAGAGCTGATAAGGAAGGGAATAAGTATCCTGGAACAGTGTAATATGCGAAGCTTGATACCAGGATTATGATAAAGAATTGTAGCCTTGAAACTCCTCCTCTAGGTCTCTCCTGCTCCTCATGCAATGCCCTGCAGATTTAGTTTGAAATACTCATATGAGTTACTGTATCAACTATTAACGTAACGTTTCTTTAAGAGGATTTTCGAATCATGATTTTACCTTACCAAGATTTTCTAATCATGGTTTAAAGATTAATTGACAATAACCTGGTGATGCACGAGATAATGTTACCTTACTAAGATTTTCGAATCATGATTTAAGGATTGATAGAACTGCTTGCCAATAACCCAGATAGAGTAACATTAACCTGATGATGTACGAGGTAATGTTATCTTATCAGGATTTTCGAATCATGATTTAAGGATTTATTGAACTACGCATTAATAATCCAAATAGAGTAACATTACTCTAGTGATGTACAAAGTAATGTTACCTTGTCAAAGATTATCAAATTTATGATTTAAGGATTTACTGAATTCTGTGCTAATAATCTAAATAGAGTAACATTGCCTTGATGATGTACGAGGTAATATTGAAAGCAATAGAAATGAAGGCTAACCTGAATAGAGAAACTTGTGGCAGGTTTTGTGGCCACCACATGTAAGGTGAGTCAACAAGGACTTTTCTGAATAAACCAGCCCATCCATAGCCAAGAAGCTGATCAATTTCATCAAAAAACCGTGTAATGTAAGAACGTTTAACGAATTTACTTGACAGAAAAAAGAACTTTTTGTCTTTTAAAGTACCTGAGTAGTTTGTGCGAGCAAAAGGGCAGCTACAGGATGCAGACTTCTTTTGTAGAAAGCTTTCAGAATGATAACAATATGCACAGCATAAACACCACCAGCTCCACAGCCTGCAAAAATGGTGATCAACGCATGTTCTTTCACACTGAACGGCCCCGGATTGAGTGAAAACCTCCATTTTGTGAGTGGACATTGATATACTTTCGTCGGTAGCGTTGAAGCCATCAGCCTTCCGATTGGTAAAACAATAATTTGCGCTGCGACTGGACCGACACTTAGCGGATTCTGGCGGAAGGAGAAAAATCGGTTCAAGAAGGCAAGAAGTGCACATGATGTTAGCCCCAAAACCCATGTTCTAAATGTTAAAACTGGCTCTGAAGGATTATCTGTTATTGGAACTGTGAGCTTAACTTGCTCAATTGGGCTATCATTAACTTCATAGTCTCCAGCTGAATGAAAAAATTTGACATAATGTTACACATCTCAAATAGTTTTCCAGACTGATTATAGTCCCGAACTTTTGTCACGAACCTCGAGTTACAAAAATGAAAAAACTTATTTATCTTCTAAACAAAACGTATGTTCTAAAACACATGTAAATATTGACTGGACATCGAATAAAAACTTGTTCTTATCATTATTAAAAAAAAAAAAAAAAATCCAAACAATCTTCAACTACTATTATGTTTAATATATTTGGTTCAGGCTGCTTATTTCATGTTGACATCATTAATTGGAAAAAGAGAATAATTAGAGGAAGATTACCATAAAAGTCGATAATCTTCTCCGAGGACGGGTTTCTGGATTGAGGGCACCGCCTCATGTTCAGCCTTGCCATTTGTCTCTGTTTGGGGATCAACCAGAATGGCAGCCCCTCAAAATCTTGCCCTTAACAAATCGTATATATATTTTTGTAAATGCATTGTTGTTCCTGCTTTTTAGCCTTGTTGATCATGCTTAAATCAATAAGCCAAACAGCCTATGTAAAAATTAGTAAGATTTTGACATAAACTTGAGAAAATATAATCTGTGACTTATGAACTTGGGAAAACTAAATAGTAAAAACAATATATATATATATATTATATATATATATATATAATACACACACACACGCGTACATATGTATCTTTACCAAGATGTCTAACATAACAAGGAATCTAGTCAGAAGAACAATATTATAAAAGAAAAATTTTATAAAATTAAAAAATATTATTTAATATTTATTTGTAGAATTCTATTAAACACTTTTTTTTTTTCTGGAGGTATGAGATAATTCTCGACTGGGATGCTCAAGTAAATGCCCTACCGAAGGAGCTTCCAGTGATTTCAAACCCCTGATATTGCAGGTCCAATTACTAGTTAACTCATAGCTCATTGTTATTAAACACTTTCATTGTAGTTCAGTTATCTTTGCATATATAGAAATATTTTTTATTTATTTAATAATACTACATATCTCAAATAACATTGCTATTTTGTTAATAATCAAAAAAACATTTTGTCCATAATAATAAATTAACGATGAGAAGTTTTAAGAGAAATTCAAGACTCAAAATAGAATTTGTTTAAAGAATTAGGCTATTTTCTAGTGTAATTTGTAAAAAATTTGGAATCTAGGAAGGGCAATGACCCTCCTCCTCCGTCCATGGCGAATAATAAGAATATTGTAAGATCATCGTCTACTTATATAATGAAACTTTGTAACCAAGGTGTCCGAGCCTACATACTCACCTCAACTGATCCTCGGCGAGATTAGTGCACCCCCCCCTTAAATTGTGGATGCTCAAATGGAATCAAACTAAGACCGTGTGTCTATCCGCATATCCCCGATTAGTCCTACCCATCTGGCTACCCACGATGGGTGAAAAAAAAAAAAAAATGAAGACCTTCTCTTTGTTTTATCAATTGTGTTGAATTTTCATCTTGTTCTTGGAAATTTTTGCTAGTTGGAAAACTTTAAATCCATCAGAAAACTATTTTAAGAAATTTTTAGAACTTAAAATTTCAAAAGTACATACATAATGTCACAGAATTCCCAATCACACATAAGGCCTAATATTTAAAAACCAACAGTTCCTACAGCTTAGTTCTGACACTTATATTAGGAAACACAAGGCAACGATAAGCTAAAACTTCACGGTTCACACATTCAATGAAGCAAAGGGCATCCTTGACTTCGATTCGCCGCTGTGGGGCACTTCGCCAATGGACAATGGTCTTGCTGGGACACCCCACCTCGGACCGGTTTTCCTGAGATTGAACCGCGAATACAAGAACACTCCCATGAAAGCAACTCCAGCATCCATGGCTCCAGATAAATATAAGTGTGCCTAGCCCACCAACGCTTGTGCCTTCTGAAGAGATAATAGTTAAGAAGATTCCAACTGCTCCCCACCTCAGATAGTGCACAGCTCTAGCTGGTGGCATGTTACCTGTGCCTCCAAAGATTATGGAAGTTAATCGCTTGACCATTTTTTCTCGGAATTTTCGCGAAAGTACCAGACAGGAACTGGGCTAGAAGTCCAATCAGAAGAACCAATTCATCTCAGGTACACTCCTTGGTTTGTGAACATTTTTCCAGGCCAACAATACCCCATATGATTGAAGCACTGTAGAAAACATCATCACCAGACATTTCCACGGACTCGAAGCTGGAAGAACATTTGTATCACATATGTGATCAACCTTTACGAAAGCCACCAAGCTGTGGCAAAGTAGACAGTTGAGAAACTATTGTTCCGGTTAGCTGAAATGGAAATTCAGAAGAAATTAGTAATGAATCAATAAGTATAAAAATAGTGAACACAAAAGAGTTGAAATTTGTCAATTACCTGACACATGAACATGGATCTTGGAGGGATTTTCATGTAGTGGCCTAATTTGAAGTCTCAAGAAAACTAAGGGCTTGAGACACTGATATAGCCATATGTCTTGAAAGTAACATTTGCAAGAGGCCTCCCAGGATACATGTATCCAATAATCACTCTCGTTATCACATTCAGCCCTGGTTGCTGCACATCAACAAATTTTAGGGCTTAGCGATGAAAGAACACAAAATCTATATTATTTAATTAAAATTCTCAATGCAACGTCTCTATCTTAACATCGTAACCTAAACTTCTAGAGCGAGAAGTCAAATTATACCTGGTTTGTAGTGGCTTGAATTATCCCAATAGGTAAGGTAAAAAACAGTGCAATGGCACAAGCTAGTAGAAGTCCCCCACCATGGAATTGAAGTTGGCTCAAAACCTTCACAGGCAAATATGGAAAGAGCCACTGTTAAAATCAAAATGATGTGGAACCACCATTGGGAACTGCTGCATAGTTCTTCTTCAAATTCTTGTGTGGACATCGTTAACTTATCGCGTACTGCACCCGTTGTCATTTTCCACATTCGCCAAATGTCCCTGCTCATTTTTAATTACAAACAAATTAATATGAAAATCAGAACATTGTTAGTTAAGATTTCTTGTCTCAAGAAAAGCATGTTAGAGAACTACGATCCATCAAAGAGAGCAACATGTGAAATGGTAGCGGTCAAAGTTGCAAAGCGATGCCATACATAAGGCAAAAAGGGAATAGTGATAGTTTGCTATAACATATGTGAGGAAGTAGATCAATATCAAGGTTTTGGGTTGAGGATTCGAGAATATTGTAAGTTGACCAAATGATCAAAAGTATTGGAAGAGAAGATCGGAAACTCTTTTGCTTCAAAGCGTTCATCCAGTATGAAATAACTATTACATAGAACCAAGGCAAATCCAACCAACACATTTATTATGGCAAACAAGGGTGTGCCAGAGGACTTCCCAGGAAGCCAGCAACAGTAGACCAGTCGAGCCCAAGAGCCGATGCCTGGCCATTGAGGCCAGCACCGACGATTAGCTGTGATTGAATCCTTCCAAATCCAACACACAAATGAGAGAGCTGAAAGGGAAGGAAAATGTATCCTGGAAAGACAAATAAGCAAAGCTTGATGCAAAAACCAAGAAAAGAATTGTACCTGCTAAGTCCCCCTTTTGGTCTCTTATCTTTGTCATGTAACGCCCGGCAGGTTTTTTCATAGTTTCAATGAAAGAAAACAATGCTTTGCAATTTACAATTCAATGTATATTGAAGTGAGATGAGTACCTGAATAGAGAGACTTGGACCAGGTTCGCTGGCCACCACATGTAGGGAATCACAGGGTATTTTCTGAATAAACCAGCCCAGCCATATCCAAGCAACTGCATTTCATATAAAAATAGAAGAACAAATTGCATGTTATCTTTAGAAAACAGACATATATAGATGACATGACATCCGTCCCACCATGTTTTTTGTGCAGAATGCAAGGTATCAGATGTACCTGAGTAGTCTGTGCAAGCAACAAGCGGCAACTGGATGCAGATTTTTGTGGTAGAACGCCTTGACAATGGTGATGATATGGACAGCATAAACTCCACCGGATCCACAGCTAGCAAATATAGTGATCAATACATGTTCTTTCAAGGTGAATGGCCCCGGATTCAAAGAAAACGACCATGGTGTGAGCGGGATTCGAAAGGCGTTTTCGGGAGAGTGCAGCCATCAGTTTTCCTACGGGGAGCACAATAATTTGCTGAAACTGAACCAATATCAACTGGTTTTGGCGGACCCGAAAAATCGGTTCAAGAAGGCAAGAATGCAACATGATGCTATCCCAAACCCACGTTCTAAAAGTTAAAACTGGCTCTGTGTCATCAGTTATTGAACTGTCACCGAACTTCCTCTCGGGTTTCATCAAATTCTTCATCTTCTGCTTGACAAATAACAAAATTCAGAATAACTTAACAAGAATCAAGCAAATGGATCATTTCAGAGAGAAAGAGAGATGAATTATCAATATATACCATTTAACTTGATCTCAGTTTCGTGTTTCTCCACAGAAAAAACTTGAGGGACAACCCATCTTCCTCAGTAGCGTGCCATCTCTCTCCAAGCAAACTTGCAAAATGTAACAACTGCTACAAAAAACACAATTTCTTTTCTTTGAAATTTATATTACAATATCCACACTAAATGAAAAACCATTGAAAAGATGGATTGTTGGCGCATCAATTCCATAAATTAATTAACAAGTTCGACTTCCTCTAGTGATGTATCCAACTTGCTAAACAATTTGCAATTACACATTTGTTTTTGTTACAAGACTTGACTAAGCTTTGGTGAACAGTCCACTAATCTTTGCATGTATTTTTGACTTCCTCTAGTGATGTATCCAACTTGCTAGACAATTTGCAATCACAAAGTTGTTTTTTAAGAAGACTTTGACTAAGCTTTAGTGAACAGTCCACTAATCTTTGCATGTAATTTTTTTGTGGTCTGCTGTATAAATTGAGACTTTGGGTTAGTTTCTACTACTTTGGTTGTAAATGTCATAGTGCAGATTTTTTGGTACTTAATTAAAGTGTTTTGAAAAAACTTCAGAAAACTTTGAGAGAAAACACTGTTTTCCTATTGAATTTCAGATTACAGTATTTTTTTTATATACAATCAAACAATGCAGCAGTTGGCATCCTCGTCAAATTTAGTCAACAACACAAATTACTTGAAAGAAACACAAATCAATAAGTTTCTAGCCGTCGATTCTAACCCCGAATGATGAACCCTAACGTCTTAAAGAAAGGACACCCTTCCTATTGATCTGAAATTGTGAAACATTTCATTTCAATTGTATATTTGAAATGCTCTCGTTCTACTTAAGTGACTAACGGAATATTAGAGAAATTGCGTTTCCGTCTTCTTGTAATGGAAAGTTAACGATACTCCTTTTCCAATTGTAAGGCTTCTTCAAACTTCTGCATTTCTTCATTTCTTTCTTCTGCAAAATTAATCTTTTCCTCTTAATTTGATTCCCCGCAATATTTATTTTATGAATAAAAACATGGTGGATAAACTCCAATGACGATTTTTTATTTGTATAATATTCAAGTTAATTAATCCATCTCTTGTAAATTTATCATTTCAAATACCATATTCATATGTGTGTTCTAAGTAACATATTATAGTACTAGAGAAATTTATCAAAATTTAATTGGAAATTGCTTACCGAATGATTTTAATTAAAATAGAAAATAGAAAATTTAAGGTACATATAAACAACTACATATTTTGATCACAAAATTGTCAAAAGAAATAGTCTATAATAAATAATAGGAGGAAGTTATCCAATGAGGAATTATATAGAGGACTACAAAAAAACTCCAAGAACATAATTATTAAATCATGGTAAAACTAATATAAAAGATGCCTATGTCAATGAAGTCGCATCTTCATGGTCATTAACTAGTGAAGTTGTAGAAAAAATCCAATCTCTCAACTTGCATGAGGTTTGACACTTTTAAGTTATCATCCCACCTAAAAACTTAAACTTGTAAGCGAGGGTTCAACATATATTAAGACCAATAGGCCCCCTCCCATCACTAGTTTTTTTTTTTTTTTTTAATCCAGTTTGTAAGTGAGGATTCGAACGGTGACTTTTGGCTCTGATACCATGTTAAATTGTCACTTAACTGAAAGCTTAAGCTTTTATCTCTTCAATTTAATAGGATCTAAGTTGTATCAATTAAAATTATATTTATCTCTTCATTTAGAGTCTAAATTAGTATACAACTTTTATGAAAGCAAATCCAAACTTTTATTCGTAAAAATATGTAGTGGTTTCTCTTTTTATATTTGTCATATGATACATAATTTTTCACAAATCCAGAGTATATTTAATGTAGCTAGCTTATTATTCTGTTCTTAGATCACATCATATCAATATATTTCCACTTTATTTGATTCATTTTGTGTAAATAAATGATTTATCAATCACTGTTTACAATTAAAAATAACTATTGTAACTATTAAAAATTAAATTTTGTGTAAAAATCATTTATCAATCATAGTTTACCATTAAAAATTATTAAATATTAAATTTTATGTAAATAAATCATTTATCAATTATAGTTTAATACAACCATATAACACGATTTGACCTCTTAGTGATCTACCATCTCAAAGTAACCAAAATCTATTTTCTTTTGGAAGTTTTATTACAATTTCCACACTTATTGATACAATGTAAATGAAAGAAACAATGGAGAATTGTTGGCTCATCAATTTTAAAAATCAATTAACCTACTTGACCTCCTTTTATTACAATTTCCACACTTATTTTCTTTTGGAAGTTTTATTATATTTTCCACACTTGTTTTATTAGAGACTTTGAATAAGCTTCAGCAAATAGCCCAACTTTTGCACGTGATATTTTGGTCAATAATGTTCTTGTTGTATTATCTAAAAAGTTTATCAAACATAAATAAAAAATTTCCACACTTGTTTTTATTAGGAGACTTTGAATAAGCTTCAGCAAATAGTCCAACTCTTGCATGTGATTTTTTGTTCAATAATGTTCTTGTAGTATTATCAAAATGTTGTCAAAACTCTAACTATAAAATTTCCACACTTGTTTTTATTAGAGACTTTGAATAAGCTTCAGCAATAGTCCAACTTTTGCATGTGATTTTTTGTTCAATAATGTTCTTTGAGTTTATCTAAAAATGTTATCAAAACTCTAACTATAATCGATCATGTTGATCTAGATAAAGCAAAGTTTTGGTACAAATTCTTCTCTTTATTTTTGAAACCAGTATAAAGTATCCAGATAGCCACAGAGAAGTCTGTGAAAATATGTACATACTAGACATTTAGAGTGTTTTGGCTAGCCCAGCAATCCTCAAAGGATTGCCATTGCCTTTGGAGAGAAAGAGAAATGGAAATGGCAAGTCGTCACAATGTTGAAGACACTTCTGTTCCTCATACTAAGTATTCTCAAACTCATAGAACTGACATCATTGTCAGAGGTATTATTCTTCTCTCTCTCTTTATTTACTTGGTGTTTGTTCTGTATAGATATATTTTATAAAGGATAATATGTACCACAAACTATTACTAAAATGTTTCTTGGTATATATTCATGGCACCCTGCATAGGTACGAGAACCCATTTTTCTCTTTATATCATATGTGTTTATTATATATAGATAGATTTTTCGAAGAGTAAGAGTTCTGTTTTATTTTCCACTGCAAAGTTTATGTTTTTTCATCATATATTTATTTCGTGTTGTGGATTATAAAAAATATAGAAAAATCTGATACCATACGTTTTCATTTTGTAAAAAATTCAGTTGCATTTCCTTATTTGCAAATTATGTTATATGTATTTGTGAGAAACAAAAAAGAGTGCTTATAAATGTTTTAGATAGAAGAGTTTTATAATGTTTTAATTCATAAATAGATTTCATAATTTTCTCACATTTCAGTCAATCGAGTCTCATGAGTACACCTGGAGCCTATGGGATATAGGGAGGGTTAGGACAGGTTGTGTCAGTAAGACTCATTATGTTTAGGTTCTCTGTGTCCTTTGACAACACCAACTGTCTTCGGAGTCTTGGATTCACGGTCGAGCAGTCTCTTGTTACTTGGTCTTAGGAAGTCTGTCCTGGCAGATTCTATAAAAGTTCATTATGTCCCTTTGACAAGTATCAAGGGCAACCATGGCTTAGGCTAACTCTGTCACGTTATAAATATTAAACTGGACATCGAATAAACTAATCTTGTTCGTATCATTAATTTAAAAAAAAAAAATCCAAAACAATCTTCAACTATCTATTATGTTTAATATATTTGGTTCAGGCTGGCTTATTTCATGTTGACATCATTAATTGGAAATAAAGAGAGATAATTAAGAGGAAGATTACCATAAAAGTCGATAATCTTCTCCGAGGACGGGTTTCTGGATTGAGGGGCACCGTCCTCATGTTCATGCCTTGCCATTTGTCTCTGTTTGGGGATCAACCAGAATGCCAGCCCCTCAAAATCATGACCTACAACAAATCGTATATATATGATTTTTGTAAATGCATTGGTGTTCCTGCTTTTTAGCCTATTGTTGATCATGCTTAAATCTATAAGCCAAACATGTCTATGTAAACATTAGTAAGATTTTGACATAAACTTGAGAAAAATATAATCTGTGACTTATAGGACTTGGGAAAACTAAAATAGTAAAAAACAACACACACACACACACACATACATATGTATGCTTTACCAAGAATGTCATAAACATAACAAGGAATCTAGTCTAGAAGGAACAATATTATAAAAGAAAAATTTTATAAAATTAAAAAAAAAATATATTAGTAATATTTTATTTGTAGAATTCTATTAAACACTTTTTTTTTTTTCTGGAGGTATGAGAATAATTCTCGACTGGGATGCTCAAGTAAATGGCCCTAGCCGAAGGAGCTTCCAGTGAGATTCAAACCCCTGATATTGCAGTTAAAGTTCTCCGACTGGGAGTCCAGTTACCAGCTAAATCATAGCTCATTGTTATTAAACACTTTTATTGTAGTTCTAGTTATCTTTGCATATTATGAAAATATATTTTTATTTATTTTAATAATACTACGTATCTCAAATAACATTGCTATTTTTGTTTAATAATAAAAAAAAACATTTTGTCCATAAATAATAAATTAACGATGAGAAGTTTTAAGAGAAATTCAAAGACTCAAAATTAGAATTTGTTTAAAGAATCTAGGCTATTTTTCTAGTGTAATTTGTAAAAAATTTGGAATCTAGGAAGGGCAATGACCCCTCCTCCCTCCGTCCATGGCGAATAGATAAGAATATTGTAAGATCAATCGTCTACTTATATAATGGAAAAACTTTGTAACCAAGGTGTCCGAGCCTACATACTCACACCTCAACTGATCCTCGGCAGAGATTAGTGCAACACCCCACTTAAATTGTGGATGCTCAAATGGAGAATCAAACCTAAGACCGTGTGTCTATCCGCACTATCCCCGATTAGTCCTAACCATCTGGGCTACCCACGATTGGGTGAAAAAAAAAAAAAAAATGAAAGACCAGTCTTCTTTGTTTTATCAATTTGTGTGAATTTTCATCTTGTTCTTGGAAATTTTTGCTAGTTGGAAAAACTTTAAATCCATCAGAAAACTATTTTAAGAAATGTTTAGAACTTAAAATTTCAAAAGTAGCATACATAATGTACAGAGAATTCCCAATCACACATAAGGCCTAATATTTCAAACCAACAGTTCCTACAGCTTAGTTCTGACACTTATTATTAGGAAACACAAGGCAACGATAAAGCTAAAACTTCACAGGTTCACACATTCAATGAAGCAAAGGGCATCCTTTGACTTCGATTCCTGCCGCTGTGGGGCACTTCGCCAATGGACAATGGTCATTGCTGGGAGCACCCCACCAATCTGGACCGGATTTTCCTGAAGATTGTACCGCGAAATACAAGAACACTCCCATGAAAGCAACTCCAGCATCCATGGCTCCAGATAAAATATAAGTGTGCCTAGCCCACCAACGCTTGTGCCTTCTGAAGAGATAATAGTTAAAGAAGATTCCAACTGCTCCCCAACTCAGATAGTGCACAGCTCTAGCTGGTGGCATGTATCCTGTGCCTCCAAAGATGATTGGAAAGTTAATCAGCTTGATCCATTTTTTCTCGGGGAATTTTCGCGAAAAGTACCAGACAGGAACTGGGGCTAGAAGTCCAATCAGAAAGAACCAATTCATCTCAGGGTACACTCCTTGGTTTGTGAACATTTTTCCAGGGCCAACAATACCCCATATGATTGAAGCACTGTAGAAAACATCATCACCAGGACATGTCCACGGACTCGAAGCTGGAAGAACAGTTGTATCACATATGTGATCAACCTTTACGAGAAGCCACCAAGCTGTGGCAAAGTAGACAGTTGAAGAAACTATTGTTCCGGTTAGCTGAAATGGAAAATTCAGAAGAAATTAGTAATGAATCAATAAGTATAAAAAATAGTGAACACAAAAGAGTTGAAATTTGTCGATTACCTGAACAATGAACATAGATCTTGGAGGGATTTTCATGTAGTGGCCTAATTTGAAGTCTCCAAGAAAACTAAGGGCTTGAGACATACTGATATAGCCATATGTCTTGAAAGTAACATTTGCAAGAGGCCTCCCAGGATACATGTATCCAATAATCAACTCTGTTATCACATTCAGCCCTGGTTGCTGCACATCAACAAATTTTACGGGCTTTAGCGATGAAAGAACACAAAATCTATATATATTTAATTGAAAATTCTCAGATGCAAACGTCCTCATCTTTAACATCGTAACCTAAACTTCTAGAGCGAGAAGTCAATTAATTATACCTGGTTTGTAGTGGCTTGAATTATCCCAATAGGTAAGGTAAAAAACAGTGCAATGGCACAAGCTAGTAGAAGTCCCCACCATGGAAGTTGAAGTTGTGCATCAAAACCTTCACAGGCAAATATGGAAAGAGCCACTGTTAAAATCAAAATGATGTGGAACCACCATTGAGGAACTGCTGCATAGTTCTTCTTCATAATTCTTGTGTGGACATCGTTAAACTTATCGCGTACTGCACCCGTTGTCATTTTCCACATTCGCCAAATGTCCCTGCTCATTTTTAATTATCAGAACAAATTAATATGAAAATCAGAGAACATTGTTAAGTTAAAAGATTTCTTGTCTCGAAAGAAAAGCATGATTAGAGAACTTACGATCCATCAAAGAGAGCAACATGTGAAATGGTAGCGGTCAAAGTTGCAAAGCTGATGCCATACATTAAGGCAAAAAAGGGAGATAGGTATAGTTTGCTATAACTATTGTAGGAAGATAGATCAATATCAAAGGTTTTTGGGTTGAGGATTCGAGAAATATTGTAAGTTTGACCAAGATGATCAAAAGTATTGGAAGAGAAGATCGGAAACCTCTTTGCTTCATAAGCGTTCATCCAGTATGAAATAGGAACTATTACATATAGAACCAAGGCAAATCCAACCAACACATTTATTATGGCAAACAAGGGTGTGGCCAGAGGACTTCCCAGGAAGCCAGCAACAGTAGACCAGTCGAGGCCAAAAGAGCCGATGCCTAGGCCATTGAGGCCAGCACCGAGCTGATTAGCTGTGATTGAATCCTTCCAAATCCAACACACAAATGAGAGAGCTGAAAGGGAAGGGAAAATGTATCCTGGAAAGACATAATAAGCAAAGCTTGATGAAAAAACCAAGAAAAAGAATTGTAACCTGCTAAGTCCCCCTTTTGGTCTCTTATCTTTGTCATGTAACGCCCGGCAGGTTTTTTCATAGTTTATCAATGAAAAGAAAACAATGCTTTGCAATTTACAATTCAATGTATATTGAAGTGAGATGAGTACCTGAATAGAGAGACTTGGACCAGGTTCGCTGGCCACCACATGTAGGGGGAATCAACAAGGTATTTTCTGAATAAACCAGCCCAGCCATATCCAAGCAACTGCATTTCATATAAAAAATAGAAGAACAAATTTGCATGTTATCTTTAGAAAACAGACATATATAGATGACATGAAACATCCGTCCCACCTAAGTTTTTTTGTGCAGAAATGCAAGTAGGTATCAAGATGTACCTGAGTAGTCTGTGCAAGCAACAAGGCGGCAACTGGATGCAGATTTTTGTGGTAGAAAGCCTTGACAATGGTGATGATATGGACAGCATAAACTCCACCGGATCCACAGCTAGCAAATATAGTGATCAATACATGTTCTTTCAAGGTGAATGGCCCCGGATTCAAAGAAAACGACCATGGTGTGAGCGGGATTCGAATAGGCGTTTTCGGGAGAGTTGCAGCCATCAGTTTTCCTACAGGGAGCACAACAATTTGTGCTGAAACTGAACCAATATTCAACTGGTTTTGGCGGAACCCGAAAAATCGGTTCAAGAAGGCAAGAATGCAGCATGATGCTATCCCCAGAACCCACGTTCTAAAAGTTAAAACTGGCTCTGTGGGATCATCAGTTATTGAAACTGTCAGCCGAACTTCCTCAATCGGGTTATCATCAAATTCTTCATCTTCTGCTTGAACAAATAACAAAATTCAGAATAAGTTAACAAGAATAAAAACAAATGGATCATTTCAGAGAGAAAGAGAGATGAATTAATCAATATATACCATTTAACTTGATCTCAGTTTCATGTTTCTCCACAGAAAAAACCTGAGGGACAACACCATCTTCCTCAGTAGCGCTAGCCATCTCTCTCCAAGACAAAGTTGCAAAATGTAACAACTGCTACAAACTTCAATCCAACATCGCAACTTTCAGGCCTGAAATAGAATGAGAATAGAGAAAAGGTTGATAAACCTTTAACCTTTTAATTAATTTTCTTTTTTCCTGGCATGACTCTGGGCCTACCGTAAAATTACCAAACTTGGCAAACCAAAATTGAGAAGAAAAGAAAAAATAGAATGTATCAATAAATACTATATATAGAATATTTTGAATCCACCAAACTGAAAAATCACAGTGGATACATGAGCTAGCTGGTAAAACTGTTGAAACTTACAAGTGATTTTTGGGTTTATTTTGTTAAGATTCTGAAACTGGCACTACTTTGCTACGTATATACTGTGCACAGGCTGGATAAATTTCTATTCTTATTGCAGTTTATCTCAGAGAAGGAATCATGAAAATTAGCCAGCTTGCATTACAAAAAAAACTATTAATTAAGATTCATTAATGCAATAAATGAAAATAGATTCAAAATATTAACCATACATCCAAAGTTTGTATGATCATCCAATCATATAATGCATGTCACCGCGAGTGAGATACACTTACCCTATTCTGATTTGAAATAATCCATTGCAATAAGAATTACAATTTGTAAGCAGTTATCTCAATAAGGAAAAAAAGAATGTCCAAGAGAGAAACAGCTAGAATCTGAATACATCCCTGATTGCATCCAAATACAAATTGAAAATTAAGAATTTTAGTTGCATGAAAGTCTCTCAAACTGTTTAAGTTTTTCAAGAAGATTTATGAATCTGATCCATCGGGATTTTTATCTTTTATTCACCAAACATTTAACCTGTAGGGCATGTTAAAGCAAGTTAAAATAACCTATTAAAGAATAATGTGAACACTCTCATGATCTTTCTTTATTGACCAAGTAATTTTCATGGAGATGAATATGGAAAGAGGGTCAAACTCAATTTCCTGAAGTGATTAAGCTCATTTGAGATGTTTTAATCTCTTATGGAATCTATAATGCCTAGATCGTGGCATGCAATTAAGGCACGTCAGAAAGACCGCCAAAAAGTGCTCAAATTATCAATGTGGGAATGAGTTTAAAAAATTAATTACAAAGCACAATAAATAATTTTCTCTTTCAATATTATTTGTAGATTACGTATTTTACATAATTTACTTATTATAGTTGAATAATAAATATTTAGAGGGGTAAATATATATCTTCGGAATCATGAAAATTTATTAATTAATTGATATATTATTTAATCGTATAAATTAATAAATTATTAATTTATCGAGGCATTGTTATTTTTTTTTTTTTTTTTTTTTTTATAAAACATTAAACTTAATGCATGTATATATTATGTATAGTTAATGTGATATAAAAAATAGTTGTTAAAAGAAACATCATCAACCTGTCTTACAGTTAGGAGTTAATGTGGTATAAGGAATAGTTCAAAAGCCTCCTAATTGAGTCATGTATATAGTATATAATTTTGATATATAAGGAGATTATTAATTTATATATCAAGTGATACCTATATGTTTTTTAGCGAATTATTAATTTACCACATTGGTCCAAAGTTGAGACCATCCAAAAATATTATTTAATTGAGGTTATTAGTGAGATACACTTATCCTATTCTGATTTGAAATAATCCATTGCAATAAGAATTACTATTCTGATTTGTAAGCACTTATCTCAACAAGGAAAAAAGAATGTCCAAGAGAGAAACAGCTAGAATCTGAATACATCCCTGATTGCATCCAAATACAAAGGGAAAATTAAGAATTTTCCCTTTTCTTTTAGTTGCATGAAAGTCTCTCGAACTGTTTAAGTTTTTCAAGAAGATTTATGAATCTGATCCATCGGGATTTTTATCTTTTATTCACCAAACATTTAACCTGTAGGGCATGTTCAAACAAGTTAAAATAACCTATTAAAGAATAATGTGAACACTCTCATGATCTTTATTGACCAAGTAATTTCCATGGAGACGAATATGGAAAGAGGGTCAAACTCAATTTCCTGAAGTGATTAAGCTCATTTGTCTATAATGCCTAGACCGCAGCATGCAATTAAGAAACGACAGAAGACCACTAAAAAAATGCTCAAATTATCATGGTTTTTGTGTTAGGGATTGTGATTTTTGATTACTTGACATGGAAACTTTGGTGGGAATGAGTTCAAAATTCGAGGAGATGGGCAAGGTTTAGATGTGGGAAATGATGAACAATGGCTTGCTTTATTTTATGGGTAAAGCTTGAGGAGGGCACACATAAGCCATGGTTTATAGTCATTGCACAAAATACTATGCATAAAAATTATTATTATTTTTAATATAAAATAATATTTCTTTTTGCATGATCTTTGGTGCATTGCACAACAAAGGGGCACAAGCTAGGCTTACCTTTATTTTATTAAAGGTTTTTTCTTTTTCTCTTTTGTTAAGTCCAAGTAAATACTAGGAGACTGTCTAGATCTCCTCAATTCGAGTCCTCACAACCCTTAATATAATGATTATTGGAATTTTTATCATATTAATAGTTTCAGGGTCTCAAAGGATTAATTAAGATACTCACAAACTGGTTTAGACATCCTCGATTATCCAAAAAAAAAAAAATTATGTAATGGTATAAAAGTAGTTGTAGAGGATTTAAAAATTAAATAAATAAAATATTTATTTTTAAAAAATAACTCAGCAATATAAATAATTTTCTCATTTAATATTATTTATAGATTACGTATTTTATATACTTTACTTATTATAGTTAAAGAATAAATATTTTGGGTGTTAAATATAACAATTAAGATTGAAATTAATTCAAAATTTAACTGAATATATAATAATGTTCGTAAGCGAATAATTATTCTCTTAATAATGCATTAATTTTGTATAACTTGGATGCTATATATAAAGATAATGTTGATCGAAGAACTTGAAAGAGGGTATTAGGATAATGTTACCCTTCTATACGTATAATTGATTAACTCTAAAGGAAGATAGATTCAAAATATTTACTATTAATTTCTATTATAACGGCAATACTATACATCCAAAATTTGTACGACCATCCAATCATAGAATATCACGTCACCACGAGTGAGATACACTTATCCTATTCTGATTTGAAATAATCCATTGCAAAAAAAAATTACTATTCTGATATGTAATTAGTTATCTCAACAAGGACAAAAGAATATCCAAGAGAGAAACAGCTAGAATCTGAATACATCCCTGATTACATCCAAATACAAATTGAAAATTAAGAATTTTCCCTTCTCTTTTAGCTGCATGAAATTCTCTGGAACTGTTTAAATTTTTCAAAAAGATTTATGAATCTGATCCATCGGGATTTTTATCTTTTATTCACCAAACATTTAACCAGTAGGGCATGTTAAAATAAGTTAAAATAACCTATTAAAGAATAATGTGAACACCCCCATGATCTTTATATAATTTACTTATTATAGCTCAAGAATAAATATTTTGAGGGTTAAATATATATCTTTGAAACCATGAAAATTTATTAATTAATCGATATATTATTTAATAGAATAAAATAATAAATTATTAATTTATCGAGGCATAGTTTATTTTTCTTTTCCAAAACGCTGAACTTAATATATGTACATATTTTGTATAGTTAATGTGCTATAGGAAATAACTGTTAGATCTCCTAATTGAGTCTTGTATATAGTATATAATTTTGATGTATAAAGAGATTATTAATTTATATATCAAGTGGTACCTATATGTTTTTTTGGGGAATTATTAATTCACCATAGTGATCATAAGTTTGGACCTACCAAAAATATTATTTAATCAACGTTATTAATTTATCAAGGTAAATAACTTTTTTAGATTTGAAGAGTTTTGATAAAAAAAAAATTAATTCAAAATTCAACTTAATATATAATAATTTTTGTAAGAAAAATGATTATTCTCTTAATAATGCATTAATTTTGTACAACTTGGATGCTATATATAAAAATAGTCCCGATTCGATGAACTTGAAAGAGGGTATTAGAATAACGTTATTCTTCTATACGTATCATTGATTAGCTCTAATTAGGGCTTAATCTTGTTTAAATATAGGATTTGATTTAGTTATATTTGTTTAGAATGTTAGGTTGAAGATAACTCTATACCCTCACGACCACCACCACCACCACCAACAACAACAAAGTTCACAAGTAAAATATTATCTAAAAATGTTATCAAGCCTCTAACTATAATCAATCATGTTGATCTAGATAAAGCAAAGTTTGTACAAATTCTTCTCTTTATATTTGAAACCAGTATAAAGTATCCAAATATCCAGAGAGAAGTCTGTGAAAATATATACATATTAGACATTTAGAGAGTGTTTTGGCTAGCCCAGCAATCCTTGAAGGATTGCCATTGCCATTGCCATTGCCTTTGGAGAGAAAGAGAAATGGAATTGGCAAGTCGTCACAATGTTGAAGACACTTCTGTTCCTCCCACTAAGTATTCTCAAATTCATGAAACGGAGATCATTGTCAGAGGTATTATATATTCTTCTCTCTCTATTCATTTACTTGGAGTTTGTTATATTCATGGCACCATGCATAGGCTGGATAACTTATTATATTCTTGTAAAGACTCATTATGTTTAGGCTTGTGAGCATTTTTTTTTCTTTCAATCCTTTGACGGCACTAGCTATCTCCAGAGTCTTGGATTCGCCATCGAGTAATTGGTCTTTAGAAGGTTTTAAAACCTGACCCGAGGGGCAACTCAGCCAAGCTATCGGGTCACGGGTTTTACAGGTCAAACGGTCCTACCTACACATCATTATGTTGATGTTAGCATGACATTACCAAAAAAACATATTTTTTTTTTAAATGTAGATTTTAATTTTTAATGGGTTTTTTTTTTTTTTTTTCTTCTATGTTGTGTTGGTTTTGTTGAATAAAAATGGGGAAGGGAGAAGAAAAAAGCTAAAATGGGTTACTTTTAATTTTATTATTTTTTTAATA